ATATATATGTGTATATGAATATATGTATGTATATATATATATGTGTGTATATATGTATATATGTGTGTGTGTAGATTGATGGATATAAATTCGCTTCTTCAGAATTTGTGTTGATGAAATTTTAATAATACATTAATAGACTTTATTTCTTGTTTAAAAAAAAACATTGCTTCCTCAGCGAAAGCCGGTTCTGACTCGTTCTAACTAGATTTAAGTAGTTTAACGCTCACCCTTTTTATTATTATTATTTCCATTTGTTAATTTCGGATGGGTGTGTATGTATTTTTTTTCAACTTTAGTTAAGTAGTATCTTTTCTGGGTTCAGATTTCCAACGAGTCCGTATAATTGGTTTGTTGCTGCTAACGAGACATGTTCCTAACACTACAGAACAATGAATATCCACCTCACCCTGACTTCACAGCATGCTTCTCAGCACAATATTCAAGAAAGCCTGAAAACTTTTTCCTTTTAACTATGCGAAAAACAGGGCGGGGGGAAGGAGAGATATTATATTATTGTGTTATGAAACTTAGCCTGCAGTAGGTATGACTCAAGTAGTTTCAACCCTACCTTAGCAGCCTTCGTGATCATAAATCACAGCAGAAACTAATTCTTGCAGGAAGTGTATTGTCACTCTGACTTCGACGTTTGAAACTTGTAGTTTCAAGAAGATATGAGGCAGCATATTCTTACGACTAACAACTACACTGAATCTTACGATAAAAAATAATAGCTACTGCACGAACTCCCCCTACCGATATAATTATTTATCTTTCATGTTTTTGTATAATGGACAAAAAAAAATTAACATGTTTAATTGAATAGTCAATTACAATTTACTTATAGTGAGCCTACGTCATAATAATAATTGGCTCGTTTAATTGTTTAAGTTCTTGTGTCTTGTGCCTCATTTCAGGATATTTGTTATCCCACTTCTAGGGCAAAAATTCTAAAACATCAATAGTTTTCGGTTACCATAAAAAGACTTACGGTAATCCAGCCATCCAACTTTGGATAATGGATCATCTTTATGGTAAGATGTGAAAGTAGGATATAAGCTGAAAGAAAAGAGTACAAGTCTTGCTGTTCCACTTGTAACTGAGACAAAAATAGGACTCGCAAAAAAGTTTTGTTTCATATCTGAATATACGTTACTTTTTTGCTTTCCAAATTTTCATTATCACAGTCTAGAGTATCCTCGTGTTTTAGAAGGCTCAACCGAAGAAAGGGTTTACTTTTTCAGTGTTCCTGTATTTATCTGTTTAAAACGATGGTACTTATAGTGTTATTCATGAAACATTCACTTGTCCTTTAATAACTGTGAGTTGAAGTTGCGTAAACGGTCACTTTCTAGTACTGACTGTGCCCACAGAGGCGGTAGTATGGGGGAGAAGGGGGGAAGGCTCGCTGAAACTTAAACTACCTCAAAATGTGCTTAGTCACTACTGTAGCCTCGTATCCAACAAACAATACTTACTGATAAAGTTGATATACTTTGTAAACACTACAGTATGTTTGCCCACCAGGTGTAGAGTGCAACCCCCTCAAGTTCTGTCTAACCCACATTAACCCCCTCACCTGGAATAAACTGGAGCCGTTCTTGTGTGTTCAGTGTCCATAAATAATATTATTACAAAAGAATTGTACCTGTTTTTCATTTCAGGAATGGCGATCCCGGTCGTTTTAAGGCGAATGTTTGGGATTTGGTTATAATGTAGTGCAGTGAATATAAGCAAGATATTACTGCTAAAGGCATTTGTATATATATAGAGGTTACTGTCTGGCGTTTTTCTAGGTATGAGATAATTATCAGGTTTGATAACTATAAAAACATTATTGTCAAAGAGCAGCGTTTCTCAACCTTTTTAGTAACGCGGAACTTTAAACCAAAACTTTAAGAATTTTCACGTGGCCTACCGCAGAAATTTATAAAAGTTGCTATGTTCTGGTTGCTATATTCTGGTTGCTATGTTCTGGTTGCTATATTCTGGTTGCTATGTTCTGGTTGCTATGTTCTGGTTGCTATGATGTGGTGATGCGTACGGCTGTACGCATTGCAGGGAATGTTGCCAATCCTGCTACTTTCACATAAAATCAACCGCCCACCCGTTTTCAATATATATATATATCGTAATTTAAGCGTAAATTCTATAGCAATTTATTAAATTTTTTTATTAATTTATAATTAGCGTTTTGCGAGGTATTATGTAGTTTGCATTATACATTTGCTGTTTTGCAACATTTTTTTCCCTTCTAATCTCAAGCCTTTTCGCGACCCACCGGTTGAGAAGCGCTGTCCCAGAATATAATACTCTTTGTGCAATTAAACTATTGTTTAATTTATCTATGAATTTTTTGTCACATTAAAACGCTAACTCACCTTCAAGCTGATGCAAAAGTCCAATCACGTTTTTTGTTGTGGTTGTTATTATATGTAGCTAAAAACAAAAAAAAGAAACGACTTTTTTTCACAGGTATAGAAAGTGTGTTTTACATATCGATATCTCGCTATAGACTTCAGTAGTGTATTGCATGAATTAATATATTTGTTTGTTGTTGTTTTTTTTTCTATTTTTCAGTCGCTATATTGCTTTGGCTTCCAAATATGTTCGTCCAGGACAGATCTACAGAGTGGCTGTTACAATTTTGTCGTCTCCACTCCCTCTGGTGGTTAGAGCGTCTCTTCACCGAGACAACGAAGAATTGGCAGCCGACTCTACAAAAATGACGTCTGGATTCACGAATATGTTAATGATGGAGGTTTGTGTTCTCAAAAGTCTTCCTTGTAAATAGATAAAAACATATTTCGTTTTGATGAAATGTTTTGCTTACAGCTACTCGAGAGCTACCTGCTCTAGCCGCCCTTAATTTTGGGGTGATAATACAGAGGAAAGGCAAATAGTCAACACTGCCAACTCATGGGCTGTGCTAATCGAGCAGTGGAATTTTACTGTCACTCTTATAACGCACCCATGGCCCCAAAGTTCGGAGTTCATTTTTTTATTTTTTTTTATTTGTAATAGGATGCAAACCATGGAAACTCGGATCTGCAAACCTACACTCTACCCACTAAGCCGCTCTCAGCTCTTCTCATCAATAACCAGTAGTGTTTGTAACGTTAAGTTTCATTATTATCCTGTATATAAATTAGGCGGCGAAGAAACAGCTTTTGACAAAAAACACAGAAAGCAAATTATACATAATACGAAAAAAGAAAGTTTCGTCTTTCATAACAAAGATTACATTTTGAATAAAAAAATGTAATCCATATACTTATATATAGTAGGAAGATAACATATTTTTCAAGCGCTATTTTTCAATTTCAGGAAAGATTCTCTATGTTTACAAAATAAACTTACACCAAGAGAGGAGATGCGATGAAGAACTTTGAAAATAATTGATACATAAAATTAGGATATCCAAGTAACGTAAACAAAAGCTCAGAAATGTACGAAAGTTAAGATGTAACTGATGGCCTAAGAATTTATGATGAATATAAAATATTCAGTAATACAAACCAAATACAGTATGTCATCCTTTAAAGACAAAACGAAATAGAAAATTTCAAATTTTAGTATTCAGCGAAAAACCTCAACGGGACGGTTTATAATAAAGTGCAGCAAAATGTTTTTTCCCCCTTTTTGTACGACCTCTTATTTTCGGAAACTTTTATTGTACTCGCTGTAGATGTTTGTTTGTTTTGTTTTGAATTTTCGCGCAAAGCTACACGAGTGCCATCTGCGCTAGCCGTCCCTAATTTAGCAGTGTAAGACTAGAGGGAAAACAGCTAGTCATCACCACTCACCGCCAACTCTAGGGCTACTATTTTACCAACGAATAATGGGATTGACCGTTACATTATAACGCCCCCACGGCTGTAATGGCGAGCATGTTTGGTGTGACGGAGATTCGAACCCGCGACTCTCAGATTGCGAGTCGACCGCCCTAACCACCTGGCCATGCCGATCCCGCTATAGATCAAGAGTGTGAACACATTTTCAGTCTTGTTGTAATATTGATCTCATCTGTTGTATTTAAATCAAAGGTTATCAAATGTTTCATATACGTACATCTCCCATTCCAAAACACGGTCATCTAGAATTCTAGATTTAACTCTTTTGACCCTATATTCTACGCATTATGAAATTATGTCAGAAAAATTGTTATATTTAAATTTGTTGCTTAAATAGGTATATATTGCACAAAATATCTTGTTGTTTTTAATATATTTTGGTAAGTTATAAATGGGTACGTTACCTAGAAGTAACATTGTTCAACTGAAGAACCAATGAAAGTAATTCCATAGTTTATTTATACTGTTACCTGGAAGTAAGAACATTTAACTACAAAACTGAACCGCTTGTATGTGTATTAAACAACAACTATTTGTTATCTGTAAGTTACAATGTGCAATAGAGGATTAATTTGTTGTATGTGTGTGTGTTTGGAATTAAGCACAAAGCTACACAATGGGCTATCTGTGCTCTGCCCACCACGGGTATCGAAACCCGGTTTCTAGCGTTGTAAGTCCGCAGACATACTGCTGTGCCACTGGGGGGCTAATTTGTTGTAAAAGCGGTTAAATATGATCCGATATTATACGGAAATACTTAATCAAATTAATGTCGGTGTTAATTTTTGTTTTGTTTTAGCTTTTCATTAAGTTTTACGAAGGACCCATAACGTATGCACATTGTTTGAGGTTCAAAAAAATGAGGGGAGACGCAGATATATATTACAAATACAGCACACGCACAATTCCCCAGTACTTTATCATAAAATATAGAAATGATAAAAACATAATGTCTGTGTTTGATATATTTTTCAAGAGTGTAGCAAAATTATTTCGATGTTTTTGTCATTGAAAAGAATGTAATATGTTATAAAGTCCTAAAACTAATGCAAACTGTTTCAGTTTTGTGGAACTAAGTTTGCGTAAGTATACGGTTTAGCATTGAAACACCGAAGTTTTTGTTAGATTGGGAATTTCCCAGTGTTGCCGATAAGGTTAAGTCTTGGATGTTACAAAGAAAGCAAGTGGGCGGGCTCTTTTTTGCTCACTTTTTTTTTTCAATAATTTAACATGGCTAAAAATGATGGCAGGTTAATGTATATGAGCGGGAAATTTTCCTAAATATATCAAAGGAAAACAAAAGAAAGAAAAACTTTGAGGCTTAACCTTTGCGGATTTTATAATCAAATATATTTAGATTCAGAATAAACAAGAACACAAAGAAAATAAGCAGCAAGTGACAATACTGTTATCACATTTAAAAGTTAAAATCCTGCCAGTTGGTGAAAGAAATATAACACTTAAATAAATATCTTACCCTTCATCCGTGTTATAGAGGGAGGTGTTAAAACAAGGCCTTATTGCTCCTTGGCCTCTGATTAAATTTATCACTAGCCATGTTACAACATATGGATATCTGTTTTACTATTGGGGCTCGTAATGAAAATGGCTTACTTAAGGCTGTCAGAGAAGCCGCACATTCAACAAAAACCAAGTGAGTGCTTACTTTATAAAGTGCTCGCACTCAAACCACATTTCAAAGACCATTTCAAAGACGAGTGTTTGAAACTCGGTGAACTTTCTGAAGGAATAAAGTTATTAAGTCAAGCATTGAACTTAAAGAAGTGCTCGATTTTCTTTCATATAGCCTGATACTACTTATCAAAGTGTTGTTAAATCATTGAACTGAGAAGGTAACATCAGAATATGCCATATATATCATTACGGAGAAGTTAACATCGAGATTAAGTCATATAACGACAGACATGTAAATAACGTTAGCTCATCTCATATCGGAGTGTAACCTGTTTGATTTCTCCTACGTTTATGGACTTACAACGCTAAAATATGAGGTTCGATTCTCCGCGGTGGACGTAATACATAGCTCAATGTCATGTTTCGCTGAAATAAACCAACAAAGAAAGTGTTTTGAAAATTAAAGAGAAACAACAAAAAACATTTAACGGTAACTACTTATGGACTCGCAGTCTTGCCCTAAGCCTAATTGGCTTAGTGTTCTTTTATACTGAGCAAAAGACTTCGTTAAGAAAACGTTTGGCCAAGTGGTTAGGGCACTCGACTCGCAGTTTGAAATCTCCGTCCCACCAAAAGTGCTCGCCCTTTCAGCCATGGGGGCGTTATTAGGTGAGGGTAAATCCCACTATTCGTTGGTAAAAGAGTAGCCAAACAGTTGGCGGTGGGTGGTAATGACTAACTCTAGTCTTTCACTGCTAAATTAGGGACGGCTAGCGCAGATAGCCCTCGTGTAGCTTTGCGCGAAATTCAAAACAAACCAAACAAGAAAACGTTTGTTAACTGCTGTGGTTGTTTTTCATTATATTCTTTTTTTCCGTTTATTTAATGGCGTGCTTACGATTTGAAAACTATAAGCTTGTGAAACATAATCACAAAGGATTATTACTACAGGATAATGCAAAACTTGCACACCACTATAACATTTCTAAGTCCCGCCTTTACTGTGTTTTTTTGTAAATCATATTTGTGTTTCGCTAACTCTCTGTTGATGTTTTTTTTAGCTGCGGCAGAGTGGCTCATAGAATGGCTTCGAGTTTTTGTTGCTGTTTTTTCACGTACAAACTTTTAACTCATAGCTCCGCCACCTATTGACCAATTTGAAAATCTAATCACAGTTTTGGACTCAGGAGGTCAAACCATTTCGATTGACGTATTTGATCACGCTCAAGGTCTCATAGATTAATTTACTCTAATCCCTCCTTAAAGGATTTCAAGTGTCGTGGCTATTGACAATTCCTTACTGTTTAAGTGTGGAAGTGATCCTGCTGTATAGAGATCCTGCACGCTTTCCTGATCTTACCCCATTACACTTTTTTCTTATGAACATTCATCAAACACTTGATGTTTGTCATAAGCTCAAGTGGTGGATGGTTTGAAGCAGAACATCACAGTAGCCCGCAGAGCTCTAACCTGAACGAAAGGATGGCATTGTCTTCTAATAGCAAGGTTGCACATTTCGAACAGTTTTTAAGGGGGGGACTTAGAAAAATCATGGTGGTTTGCGAATGACGCATCACCTTGTTATTTGACGTTTATATATTGAAAAAATGATGAAAAGTGGAAGGTTTTTTTTCATTAACGCTGCAAAATATCATTAAACATAAATAAAAGAGAACCCCAGAGATGCCAAATACGATGAGATTTTATATGTTTTAACATATACATATATATTTAATTATCTAACCTATCTATCAAAAAATTGCCACTCTAATGATGTGTATAATGTCCCTTGTGGGGACTAATATTGTTACGTATGTTAGTGAGTGTAAATGTAGCTTACTTGTTGTTTATGCTTTGTTTAAAAAATGTTTCATATTTTCGCATTTGCGAAAAGCATGGTTTGCTTTAAAAAAACATTTGTCGATACATTTGTATTTTGAAAACAACAGAAGTTTATATCAATCAGTCAAGAAGTGTTCACAGTTTCTTCGATGACGTAATTGATATTAGAACAGAGTAGCATTTTTTTTTTCTTAATAGAAAACCTCTAATCAAATACTCCTATATTTGTAAAACACCACTTTTCAATATTTTCTTGGGCTCTCTTCGTTATATTCAGTGTATGACTATTCACTTTTCCAACCCACATAACTTTAACTCCACCCTTTCTTACCTCATCCAGATATGCGGAACAGAACAAATCCAATCATGTAAACCGTTACCATGAATCACGGTAATGGTTCATAATAAGAATTGCCCATTTGTTCTTCTTTATTATTATTTAATATTGTTCCGCCGACCTACAGCCAAAATGGCTGTGAGCACTGTAATAGAACCTAAGCAGTGTTACTAAATGCACCATTGCGCACTGTGTAGGGTAGTTGTTTTTAAGTTTATTTGATTACTTAGCAACTAATAGCGGCTGTATAACCGTTGACACTGGATCGTCTGTGGTTTATATGGAGCCTCATAATCTACTATATGCATATCTATATAACTGCGTGCAGGCCGTGGATGTAATTTAATGTTTAAATGATATGCATGACACATGTACCAAAGCGATTATTAACTTATTGTTGCAATTGCATTTATGTCGCGTATCATTTGTTTATGTATAAGTTTCCTGACCTTTCGGACACGACGCTGCTGAAAAGATCAGTTTTTTTTATTTAAAATGCTTATTTATATATATATATGTGCAATTATAGTATGACACATTGTCTTAAATTGCATTGAATATCTATGCATCTATATAACTTGGAAAATTCATATGGCTATCTATATATATACGGCTTTACAGCTTAAAAAAGTATAAAGCCTATAGATATAAATACCAATCAACATACACTGCATGTACAAGCATGTATGAAATTTATGCTGTTGCAAAATCTGATCCATGCACCATTCAATTATAGTTCAGTAGTCCTTCCAATCCAGTGTTTACAGACTCCCTATATAGCTACAGGTTATACATACAGTAACTATATATATATTTTACAAGCATATACATAACATGTGGTATGTTGATTACCATGCATCATAGTGATCATACATGCAGTATCACTATCAATGAAAACACTGTGACAATGATATCAGCCATCCAATCTGCATGAAGCCAATCCAAAGGTTGTCACTGTTTTCCAAGAGAGCATCATATACCAACTACGTATGTCATTAAACTAAACTGTTTCAAGTAGGGAAGTATTGGTATTATACAGATTTATGTCCATGATGGACATAAAAAAAACATACAGAAACAAGATAGTAGCTTAAAGTGAAAAAGCAATCGCAAAAGAGTAAAGAAACAAGCTTCAGGTTTGAGACATAGTGTTCATATTATTTCCTCAAGCTACAAATCCCTGTTTTGACTTCATGTCTATTAAGGAGAGTCAAAATAGGGATTTGAGGAAATAATGTCAACACTATCTCTCAAACCTTAAACTTGTTTGTTTACTTTTTTGCGATTGCATTTTCACTTTAAATTGCCTATCATGTTTCTGTATTACTATTTTTTGGGAAAATCCCTAATCCCCCTTTTTAACTTAACAATTTTTAATAATCTTATCAAGAATTCATTAGGTTATCCGCGAAACTACAAGCGTGGCGAGCTTGACGTAAAGCATCAATCAATTTGGATTACTAAAGAGCATAGTTAAAAAGATGTCTTCCAGGGGTTTGTGTATCTATTGTGAGTGAAACAGAGACAGAAAACAACTACATAGCCGTTTTTCTATTTACTGCCTGAGAGGTTGAAAAAGTTATTGAATCACGTAAATGTCTCCTTCACTTTTAACAATAATAAATGTTCGATTATAACAATTCGGCAGCTTATAATACTCAACTTTTTGCGTATAACATTTAATTCGCGCGCTACAAGAACCAAGTTACTGGTTATGTTTACGATATTATAGTAATAACAGTACACTATTTGTTTATAGCAATTAATTCTCAGACTATATGTATGATCTTGCCTGATTATAACACTCAGACTATAATTATGGTCTTGCCTGATTATAACAATTGCTCGCTAGTTATAGCTTTTGCCTCAGAAGAACTTTATGTCACGAGATTTATAACGTTGTGTAAAAGAAGACGTTAAAAAATGACCTGCAGAGGAAGCTTAACATAGTAATTATTAGGTAAATGAGTTATTTATCCGATTTTACACGTGCGCTAATCTCACTTACTTGCTAGTGTTACCACATTTTGATACTGTTTTTTTTTAGCCATAGAAAACGACATTGCACGTGTCTCATACAGGTACTTCGTTTCCTTATGTAACGTCGCCATTTTGAACATGACCAATTGTGCTTCTCCTAGCAGACGCTTACATCAGTTGCTTCCTTTTTATTGCAGCTACGGATTTATGGTAATATTGTGTGTTACGTATTGAAATTAGATGAATAGTTTAAGAATAAGTAAATAGTCCGTCACACTTTGGTGGAGGTCCTTTTTCTCACATCATTGAAGTTGACATTGAAAGGCTACTCTAACCGTCACACTTTGGTGGAGGTCCTTTTTCTCACATCATTGAAGTTGACATTGAAAGGCTACTCTAACCGTCACACTTTGGTGGAGGTCCTTTTTCTCACATCATTGAAGTTGACATTGAAAGGCTACTCTAACCGTCACACTTTGGTAGAGGTCCTTTTTCTCACATCATTGAAGTTGACATTGAAAGGCTACTCTAACCGTCACACTTTGGTGGAGGTCCTTTTTCTCACATCATTGAAGTTGACATTGAAAGGCTACTCTAAATACAGCAGTTTTTAAAGATAAAATTATATATGAATATTTTATTGTTATCATAATGTTAGTCCCCCCCCCTCTGGTGACTCAGCAATAAGTTTAACTATTTATAATACTAAAATTTAGAATTCGATCCCTACAGTGAGCACAGCACACATGGCCCATTGTGTATACTTTTAGATTTTTACCGAAGACAAAAAACAGGTTTAATCGTTTGCCAAAATTCAGCGTGAGGCTATATCTTTAAGATGTAATCACTATTAACTTGCAATATTTCTTACTAACTGAGTACTTCATCAATAGTATATAGTAAGACGCGAGATAATTAGTATCAATCATTCTTACATAATGTCGTGTTCGTATTTGGTAACTAATGTATCTAGTCCGTTATTGTGCTTACGTGGTTAGA